TTGTAAATACTTTTGAATGATTGATCTCTGACACACGTGTACGCATACTCTCCACCTGAAAGAATTACACGTACCTTGGGATCTTTGGAAGAGTAACTTTAGGTAAGTATGTGTGTGTGAAAGTATACACATGGCTTGCAGTTAGCCTAGAACAGGACTTTTGATGTTAAATTTTTATACCTAGTGTGTGTTGCTGTACCTTATCTCATACATGTGGCATTTTTCAAATGTGACTGGGTTCCAGTAGAGGTGGTCATATTGTGTGTGTGTGTGGTGTGTGTGTAAGTGTGTACATCTAATTAATGACTGGCAGTGGTCCCCCACAGCTCTGGTAATGTGCTTAGATCAGTGTTATAAACAGGGCGTGAAAGGTCTGCCCAGCGCCAGCCTTTTAAATGACTGGCCTCTTGTTCAGGTAGATGGATGGAAATGTTCTAATATTAATGATCACGTCCCCTGCTGACCTGTCGCGAGGTGAAATGATCAACGCAGCCTTCAGCTTCCAACAGCAATTAATGGGCCAGAGCCGATCTGTCTGCCATTTGTCATCACTTACTCCACCTGTGCACCCCCGCCGAACACGCGCTAAACATGTCTGTCAATATATACAGAATGTTCACTTCACTGATTTGAAAAAATATGCAATAGTTAATGACATAGCATTTGTTCTCAGTTATTTCTGGACCATTATTTTTCTTCTCCTTAATTTGTTTCTAACCAGAAATGAGAAAACAAAACCAGAAAAATCCCCCCCAAAAGAAGTCTGATGACTTCAGCATGTCTCAATCCTTTGTTGTGTATCACTGATTATGTTCTTAATAAGTTACTTTGAAGAGACTGTCTTGCATAAAACATGATTTGCAAACGTAAGCTAGACCCACATGTCAAACTTAATCTGTAAACGCATCTCAGGATAATACACGTTACCCAGTAAAATTTACATATTAACAAGAAAGTAGCTGAAAGTCTGTTTATTTGAGATATTTCTGGCAGCATCCTTCTTACTGACCTTTAACTCTCACAGTCCAATTCATATTCATAGGCCAGTCCTCAGCAGGAGTATGGACACAAGGGGTTACACATTACCAATGCCCTCGCTCTGAGGTCAGCTCCCACACATTCCAGTTACCCATTTACCAGTCTGCCCAGTTAGCCATCACATTAAGTCACCAAACTTCGAGCTGGTGTTCATAAAATAAATGAATACCACAAGTGGCTGTAAACAAAATGTCAGAATGGGGGGGATTTTTTCCCCCCCTGAATTTTGTTTTTATAGCATGCATGATGAAAACAAGAGATGAAAACAAGAGAGGTCATTTTTGTCGCTGTAACTGCTGATGGAGCTTCTTTTTTCATTAATGTATTTGCAGCATGGGCTTTTTTAGAATAGATATTGTCTTAAAAAGGCATAAAATAAACTTAAACTGAAATAATAAACTATAGCCAGAACCACAAAAATAGAAGCTCTGTGTTTATGCGTGTGTGCGCATCACCTCGAAAATTCTTACCTGTCAGCGACTCATTTTTTTGTGATGGCACCTAGGTGGCATGTTAGATTTAGTCACTATCACATATCTAAAGATGGTGTAGTCCCTGACCTGCACAGATCTTTGTTAAACAAACTGTGCTACAATTAGCCAAAAGGTCCTTTTTGATTGTATTCAACAGTTACAATTATCTGTATATTTGTACTTAAGCTTTGCCAATTCAAAGCTTTGCTAAAGACTTCTACAGCTTTTATATGCATCACACATGCAAACACAAATGTCTTGGTGGAGTAGGCACTCCCTGGCCTTCTCTGTGCCCTGTGTCGCTTCACACAAGCTCCCTACATTCTTCGATCCGGTGCCAAATGGATCTGGGCGGAAACGCCTTTCATGTACATGGGTAGGCTGTCTGTTTGAGTCTGACGTTTTATAGCCGACTTGTCAAAGTTGTTGATTCCCCATCACTTTTGCAGAAAGGGAACAGTTCTGAAATGGGTGTCTCACAAGTACCGGGAGAACACTGTCTAAACACAGTGCTCTATTATAGAGCTATCTCTCATCACGTCATCCTTGGGTTGCAGAAGGATTGCTTGAGATCCATGGTTTTCTGTTTTAATATTGAAATTCGTGCATTGATAGCAGTACTGCCCTCCTTTGGCTGGTATTAAAGAGTTTGCATATGTTTTTACTGTGCCTGCACAGATTCTTTGTGGTACATGTATGCTAGGTTATCTGGTGATCTATACTGGCTCTACACATGAACGTTAGCCTGAATAGTTGACTGTTACGCTGTGTTAGCCCAGTGATAAACTGGCAACCTGACCTGGGTGAACCCTTCGTCTTGTCCTTTTATAGCTGAGATAGACACCAGCTCACTGTGACTGTAAATTTGATAAGTAGCTGAGAAAATAGATGAATGGATAGAGCCAAGAAGAATTTCTGTGAACATATCTCAAACAGGGGGACACGTACTGGAACATTTTACTAAACACTGGTGCTTTTACATATCTGTAGTTTATGTTGCATCAGCCAAATCTAGACAAGTCCAGTGGAACTCATCTGCCCTCTGTCAGCATTTGTAGATACAGTGCTTTCCAGTGGACCTTCAGGGGCAGAAAAGAGGCTGGAGGCGTTTTTATCCTTGCAGCAGTGGAGTTATCTCACTATTTTTGAGCTATTGATGCTAAGCGCTGGACATTAATCTACTCTGTGAAGATCGCTTTGAAGAAAGTGTCCGTTGAAGTGTCACAGATGGGAAATAAATGAAATTAATAAATATATGGTACACAGTTTGATATCTCTTATAGGCCAAGATCAAAGCAAACCAATTGAGTTCTATTCTACCTAATATGTTTTGCTGTGATAAACAGTCCGGCTGAGGGAATAATCCCATCAAGGAAGGGAGAGATTAAAAAAAGGAAAAAAAAAAAATCAGATATATCACTCAGTACAGACGGTTGGCACGGCTACCGTGAAGCATCCGTGTTATTATGGAATTGGTAATCTCGTTTCTTGGGTCTGAGTGGAAACGCAGACCTTTTTTTCCCCGTGATTTTCCTTCTTGAATCAGGTGCAGACACAGAAAAGGGAAGACAGACACAGCGGTTCTCTGATACTGTGAGAGTCCATCTGCTTCAGAGGGCTCTGGTAACTTCTTGTCTTTCGTTTTTTCTCTGGAATTTCTGAGTATCTTGATGTATTTGACACGTGTGTGACAGACCTGGTTATGTGTGATTGGGCTTGAGGCATGGTGCTCACTACCACAGCTACATGTTTTTCAGAAAAGGCCATGCGCTGTGTGTGTATAAGAGCCACTTTTGCACTTGTGTACACAATGGTGATTTTGCACTATGAATGAAGCAAAGTGTAATGTATTACTTACATGCGCACATATAAAACAGACGGATGCCACTATATGGATGTGTACAGTAGAGTCTCACAGCAGCAGTCAAATAAATACACACACAGGTACACAGCGGCATCCGCACACAACAGTAGCCCAGAGCCTCACCTTGATATCTTCAGTTTCTGTCATAAGTTAGAATTTGACACCAATGAATGTGTGTCAGGTTGTCAATTTCTTCCAGCAGCCTTTGAATGCAGTCTGGCCATGAATAGTGCATGTTGTTTTGTTTTTTACATTCCAACTGTCTGCAAGTCTGTTTTTGTTTGTTCCAGAATAACTTGGAAGGCCTGTACACTCATGCGCATCCTTTAAGAAAACTTTCAGCAGGTGTTGTGTTGTTTAGCCTTAGGTAAAGTTTCAGCCCTGAAGGTAAATTCACCAAACTGCGTTAGATCAGATGCCCTCCCATTTCTTCCACCTCTGTGATTGTGTTCTGTTTCCTCCCTGCTGTCTTTAATACGCATTCTTCTTCCACTTGACCTCCTTATGATCCATACTCTTTTTGAGTCTGGACATATATCTTTTTATAACTGCAGTTTATTGTTATGACTGGGACATTTTATTTAGCTCTAAAAGTCAGGGCAAGTTTCTGTTTTTTACGTCAGTACCTGTGTTCCTTGTGAAGTCTTTGGCATTAGTAGTGGAGAAGTAATGTGAGACTCGTGCTGTAAATGTCTCAGAAATATACACCTGGCTGGTTTTTCTTCAACAATTACAACTGCTTGATTGTTGATGCACAAGTCATTCATGCAGAGGTTTGAAAGATGTAAAAAAGACTATAGCATGATGGGTACATTTCAGCTTCCTGCTGCAGAGAAGCCATATAGAGACTGTGTGTGTGTGTGTGTGTGTGTGTGTGTGTGTGTGTGTGTGTGTGTGTGTGTTTGTACATGGATGCACCTGCGGGGAATGAATGATGATGTACTGTGCACGCATGCAGGTACACATACCTTCAAACAAGCGCATATGGAAGCAGAAGAAGAGGCAGGTTGGGGAGACTGTTGTGAAATTTATTTGGGTATATATTTTTTATACTAGTTGCCATTGGATTTACAGGTCAGAATGGAATGTGGCCCAATGAAAGGTACTTTGATCCATCCTCCGAGCTGACTGTTTTATTGGAGGAGCTCTGTATGGCGCAGGACATCTTTTATAAGGTTGTGAGGAACCCACCGGCAGCCTTCGCAAAATCATAAAAATGTGAGAAGTCAATGAAAATAACCGGTGACCGGTCATACCTCAGCCAGTTTTGAAAGGATCATTTGTTCAAATGCATTAATTAAAATGGGCTGCATAGCTTGTGGTTCGGTTTGAAGTGATCATGATTAGATTTTGGTTTCCTATTACCTTATACTGTATATCTAAATGATGGATTTATTAGATTTACTGATTTATAGTTTTTAGTTTTATGTGTTTATCGCTTATTTTATTTGTGTAAACCTTTGTCCTCAAACAACGTGCAGACTGTCTCAGAAAAGCTGCATGCTGAGTATATTTGAAGGTTCAGGCCGCTTAGACATTAAATATAAAAATGACAGCAAAACAAAATGAGGCAACCATACTTGCAGCTACTTATCAGTCTGTTTTACTGTGTTGTCTTTTTACAGAGGCGGAGGCTACTGCAGGAGTTGGGAGACCAGAAGATCCCCTTTCTGGCACCCTCAGATCGAGGTTTTCAGCAGCTGGTAAGACCTACTTCTAGATACTGTTAATGATATTTAGACCTTAACTTTAACAGGACTGCAAAAACATGTCTTCTGACTGTTGCTCTCAAAGTTATTTTTTTTCCTCAGACAAACATGCTTGAAATATAATTCTATTTTTATGTCGTATGTTTCTGCATGTCATGGTCAGCATGTTATGACAACACTGAATTGTGTTTCCTAGTGGGACACCAGTTACTCTGGTCTCGTGCTAAGGAAATCATGCTCACTGCCTGCTGAGCTCCATAGCCGGGTGCAGGCAGCTCTGCTCACCCTCAGAAGGAAGGGATGCCTCCTGAAGGATCTGGTTCGTGTTCGTGACCGAGATGTGTTCACCGCTGTGTCACGTGCCCTGCTGGGCGAACCGGGCCATACATATCGCTATCTGGACACACGGCTCTTTGCCATCCCCTGGCACAGTGAGGACATAGATGTCAAAGGACAAAACTGTTGTGACCCAGATTTGAGAGCTGCCTGCAAGGCATTGTGGGAACTTAACACCTTTTTCTGCACTGATGTGTCTCAGCTGAAAGAAGGAGACAGGCTAACACAATGGGCGAAGGGAGAGGCAGAAGCCAAACAAGGTGAAGAGGGGGACACAGAGTCTAAACACAGTGAAGACTCTAAAAATAGTGAAGGAGGGGACTCGGAGTCCAGGCAGAGTGAGGAGGGGGACACAGAATCCAAGCACAGCGAAGAGTGGGACATTGAGTCAAAACACAGTGAGGAAGGCTGCTCTGGGTCTAAACAGGAAGGGGAGTGGGAGACTGAGTTCAAACACAGCACCGAGGAGGGAGAGTCTTCCCAAGTAAAGCCAGGTGAAACCAGTTTTGCAGCAGCTTCAGAGCATGCTGAAGGAAAATGTCCTGACTGGGGAGTGAAGGCCAGTGGTGGCACAGAGACTGAACCTGTGGGACTAAAGGCCCAGGAGAAACCTGTGGCCGAACTAAAGCACAGCCTATCAGATTACCACATTCAGGACAGAGAGGAGCACGGGAGTGGCCAGGGCTGTTCTAAACCTAGTCCTCCACAGGTATGCAGCGGTCCAGTAAAGTTCAATGTCACCTTACTCAATTACATGGACCCAGCCGCAATGAGCCAACTCAAAGAGGAGCCGTACTATGGCATGGGGAAAATGGCAGTAGGGTGGCACCACGATGAGAACCTGATCACTCATTCGCCAGTTGCTGTTTACAGCTATAGCTGTCATGATGACAAAGGTAAGGATCAAAGTTAAAATGGTATTTGTCATAACTGTGCTCAGTGGCTTGAACTGCAGTTCAGATTTATAAAATTAACACTTCAGAGGCTTTTACTTAATACTTCAAAACTCTTATCCAAAGTTATCACGATAATCTTTCACATTTTTGGCTTAAAATTAAGATTCCTTTTTCTCTTTCACTTCAATATCCATCTCATTACTTTATCTCAGTTGCTTTATGGTGGATCAGATGCAGCTAACCTTGTGTGTTATGGCCCTACAGCAGCACTGTAGCAGCTGTAGACATGGCCTCTGGTGAAGCAACCATCAGATCCATCTATGCGATAGTGTCAGAGCATTATCAAATGTCATCACCAGTTCACTGCTGACAGCCTTATCACCGACAGTGCGTCGGGAGATCACAGACGTTTGGATCCGAGCTCTTAAACGCATGCTCAATAGCTTAGTCAAACAAACAAGGCTTATCACATGTGCTGCATCTCATCTAAATCATTTCCTCAAGAAATGATCGATGTGCAATTATCTGATATGGAATAATGAGCCCTGCTTTGATAAGTGATAAGTGTTTCCTAGACTGTACTGTATGAATACGATGTCTCCTAATTATGGAATGCAAACCCTTTCAAGAGCTGATAGCGTTTGCTGGTGGAGTTGAAGGCAAATCTCATTGGAAAAAAGAACTTTGCTTTCTAGTGTATGAATAAAAAAACAAAACAAAAAAACCCATGGAAGGCAATAGTGAGTATTACTCCATATTTTATGTTTTTATAAGTACTTGCTTTTAGTTTTAAAATAGTTTTTTGTACATAATACAGTAAAATGCAAAATCCTAATTTTTTATCATATGGATCACATTAATGACTGATGTCTTTATTCATCTCAATTTTTAGAAACCCAACAAACCAGAAGAGTGCTTTTTAGCATAAATTATAGGTAGTGCAGTCAGTCATTAGATCACTGCTTGCACTCTCTAAATAGTGGAATGAGAGCAAACTGTGTTTTCCTGTTGCAGATGGAGCTAAAGGTACAGCTGTAGTCCAGCAAAAAAAACCAAAACGTACTGTTGAAGGTGGGAGCTTTGCAGTTTTAAGAGCCTTTGTCTCTGTCTTAAAACTGTAATTTTAAAGTATCACGCAGGTGCACTGCTAACTTCTCCCACCACACAGCTGGGCTTTCTTCATTGTTGTTTCTTAACCAGAAACACATGCTCAAGAGGTTGGTTTTAATGATATTTTTTTGGGCCATTTCAATTTTGACCTTGCGAACACAAGCTTGAAACACTGTGGCGCAACACCTTTCTGTGCTTGGCAGCTGTCTTTCTAGTTTCAAGTGACCCCCACATCTCCAGACTTAGAACTGAAAGGCTGATCATAGCTCTACAGATGTATTTTTAAGTGGATGGCTCTGAGAACTCCCAGAACCGGTGGATTAAAAAGGTACCTATTCCAGAGAAGACAGAAACGCGGCACATTAGGCAGCTTAGATGTACAGATATAAAACATTTTGCATGACGCATTCATTTGAGATGTCTTTTTCTCACTTCAATTGCCTTTTTTTTTGCTTGGACTAAAGAAATGTAGAGTTGGTCTTTTTTATACCTGCACAGATCCAAAGGAATCTGCTACAATTGAGTGTTTTCCAGCACAGTGGATGATCTTCCACCATTCCTAAGGCCTTGGGGAGAGCTGTCATTAGCTGGCTCTCAGAGCACAATGGCTGGAAATTAAGTTACTATTTATCCGTGCTGAGCAAAGGAAAAGGCAGCTGTGGGGCAGAGAGGCCCAGAAAGAGTTTAGTATTGATTTTGCTGAAGGGTGTTGGCCAGCCAAGCCAAATCTTGTTTTCTTAGTATGCCATGTAAGAGTGGAAGGAGAGAGAGGGACAGGGGAGGCGCTTGCAGCGAATAGGTTCAGAAACAGGAATATCATAGGATACATACTGTCCAATAACACACTCACACACTCACTAAACAACATCAGGGGCTTTTATCCAACTATTTCCTCTTGCACAGCATAATGATAGCATAAAGATCCTGTGCTAACAGCCAATATGACCACAGCAACACGTATCATATTTGCTTGGCTGCTAAGTGATTCTTACTTTCTGTAGACAAAGGCTTACATCTTACATCCATTGTTTGGGTGGTATTGATTTAATCATTGCACTCTTTTTTTAATGTGTTAAGCCTTTCTTTAATTTAATTTCATTTAATTTTATTTTCTGGCTACATCATTGGTGATAGATGGCCACTGCTGTAGTATGCTATAGCAGTTTTTCACTGCATTACCCAGATATACAGGCAAAGATGTGACAAAAGTGTTATATATTTTTTTAAACAGCTTCATAACAAACATGTAATTCCATAAATATTTAAGAGATTTAAATTTAAGGATGCTGCAGTTTTACAATCACTTAAGTCACACTGGGTTAAACTGTCAACCCAAAGCCCCAAATGTGAATATAAATGCAAAATGCAAATGTTACAGTGTGCTGGGCTCTGTTTGACTGACAGGTGAGAGCAGTGAGGGAAGCAGCAGTGATAAGGCCTGCTGGAGGATTGGGCTCAAGGTAGCCTGGGACATCCACACACCTGGCCTGATGCTGCCGCTGGAGTCTGGAGACTGCTATTACATGAGAGGTACAGACGTTTGTACATAAACGCACTCGGAGCTACACACATGCACATGTAAACATGTTGCTCGCACAGCTTAACCGCATTCGCCACTATGTCTGACTTTGGAGGGAGGAACACTTTCATTACCCCATGTTTTAGTGTTACTTGTCCCCAATGACCCATGCCAGCAGGATGCACTTCACTCTCACTTTCATGCTCAGTCCTTTTCTTCTAATTCTCTCTGCAGGAAAAACAGAGCTGAGACATGCGTGTTCATGCGTGTGTATGTGCAGAGAGGTTACTTGGCTTGAAAAGCGAGCTTTAAGGTTCCATGAAATTGTGTGCATTAGAGAGGTTAAGAAACCCAAATGTTATTTTTTGAAGTCCTGTGACCCATTCCTGACTATGTCTCTATGGGGAGAACAGACAGCAAGCCACAGGGGTGTAAATCATAGCTTAATGCTTTTGGCTGCAGCAGACACCTCCACCCTCCTCTTTTTGGTCCCACGGGTCTTTCCAAGCTTTCTCATATTTTCTGAGCGCAAGGACATTTATCCACATCACAACAGAGCTTGTGTTCAGCTGGACAAGAAGTTAGCGCCCCTTATAAAATGGCGGATTTATTATTTTATAGAGGCACTTTGCTTTCTTAAGTATATAAAGGTACAGTTTTAAGGTGGTCCTTATTTCATCTGCATGATGTATTACCGTACTTTGTGTATTTTAAATAAGTGACTAATTCATGTAGTTTGGAACTAAGAGTAGAGAAAATAAATATTTTAACTGATATACATCAGAACATACTTGACTGCAACACTATGCTCAACATTTACATCAAATAAATACAGGTATTTAGACGCTGTTATTCACTCTTTTCTATATTTTTTTTAATACTTCACCAAATGTCTGGAGAGACTTTCTTTTTTAATTGAAAGATTACCATCTCTTTACACCCGCAGAACAAGGTGGTATAAATAACTTACTTATGTACTGCAGATATGTCACAAATCAGATTTACAACTAATTACAAACAAAGTAAAGCAGCTCTTACTTTTATGTTTTTTTTTTTTTTTTTTTTTTTTTTAAAAACAGCGTGCTTTGATAATAATATTGTTGTTCGTAAGCCTTTAGGCCTCCAATTTCACAATTCTATAGTGGGGGTAAAAAAGGAAAAAGAAAAAGCACTGTAAAATATTTTCTCCAAACTGGTCAAGGCAGATGGCATTCCTCCCTGAGTCTGAGTTTTCTTCCTATTAAAAGCGAGTTTTTTTTCTTCTCACTTTCACAAATACTTGCTCTAAGGGCAATGACAACTGTTGTGGATTGCTTTTATATAAATAAAATAAAAATCTAGTTTTTACTCCATCTGCCCCTTCACATCTTTATAAAACAACTGTTTCTAAAACGGGTGTTTTATAAACTAGTTATTCATAGTGTCAGTGGTAAAGTGTAGTAACTGTTTGCCACTACCTTGATAATAGTAAGGTGTTTTCTATAGCTGCATGCACATGTGTACCACATGTGTCTGATTTTCCAGTTTAAAGTTGAATCAGATTACCTGTCTACTGTATCAATGTAATTTTAGAACATCGTCAGTCTTTTCAAATGGACCACTAAAAAGTAAGCAATAGGAAGGTTTTAATGAATTCCTGACATTGACTCTTTGAAGATGCTATGTTTTCATCTGAGAGCAACGATGTCTGTACCTAATATTCAGTCTGACAGGGCTTGAAGCCGACCTCTTTTAGCTGGATAAGATTTACAATAGAACAGTCAGTTTCAGGCCAGCTATGATAATAGAGTGATGGGCTGTTGTGCAGACCATTCTAATGGGACTTGACTGTCGCGGATCAGTGGGGATTTATGCTCCACTTGGTGAGTACGCCCTTGAGAGGCCAACTGCTGTACGACGATAGCAGCTCACAGAGTCCTCGGCAGTCTGTGGCTTTGTCGGCCTACCTGATTTAAATGCTTGGCACAATGCACAAACACAGCCATATGGAGAAAAAAACCCAAACAAACTTAAAATTATTTCGTTCTTCAATAGAAATGATTTGTTTTATATACAGTACACAATTTTGTGTCCTAAAATACTCATAGAAGTTTTCCTGCACAACATTATTTTTACATACTAAAATCCTAAAACTAAACCAATCGCGAGACAAACAAGTCTTGTAAGACATGCAACACACACACAAACTCTATATTTTGTCACTGAATCTTAAGTTTTTCATGATTTTTTTTTTTTTTTTTTTTTGGGTGGCAACCGACACGTACGAATAAAAAACTGGATGTTTCACCTCACCATGTCAAGCCCACTCGTGTACACACAGGCAGAGTGGCCAGTGTTAAACCAAGTGTTAAGATATATTGTACCAGTGTTTTGGTGACATACACCGTATGATAAGTAGTTTTGTGGTATTAAAAGAAAACTACAATGGTGTATAACCACAGACACCGTAATGTATTTTCAGCACCATTTGTCGGCGGCTGGCCCCTTTGAACTGCTAATGTCTGAGCTGCTGGAGGCAAATTGAATCACCATCATTTCCACCCAAATGGAATTTCAGTGGTTAAAAAAGAACAATGCAAGTCTTGACACCGGGCCTGTTCAATAATCTGATTTCCAGCTCCCAATGCACAGGGGGACTGGAGAAAAGACTTGACCCAATATATTTAAAAGCCTGCTTCCTGGAAAAGGAGGACAAGTGGCAGCAGGCACAGGGGTTGAAAGAAAGATAAATATTTATTACAGTTATTGAGTTTGCCTCTACTCCCTCCTGATCCCACTGACGCATCAGACGCGCCAAGAAAAGAGCAGATTGATGGAGATAATTTGTTATTGGATATAAACAGTTTTAAAGACGCAGAGTAATTCTGCCCAGAGACCTAATCCTTCACAATCTCATCAGGGTGAAGAAAACACCGGCAAGTTGTTTTGTTTGTCACCGTCTTTTTTTTCTCACCCACCAAACAATAATATCTTCCTCCCAAAGCATTTGGCTGTTTGACTTTCAAATCACAGGCATTAGCCGGTGTACTCTTGCTCAAGGCGGGTGTAAATATGCACATGTGCTGTGAATGACAGCTCTGTCATGGCTAAATTAATTATTGTTATGAGGCAAATAATGGCAGAGCTGAGAAACATCTATACACACAAAGAAACACATGGAGGGATACACAAGAAACAGCAGTAAGGCCTCTTTGTAAAGCTTGTGTGATATTGGACAAATGTTTGTTGGTATGGCTCTTCCATCTTGACAGATTGAGCTCGATCTGGTTTTGTTTGGTAATTAAAATTATACTACAATGCTGCTCACTCTATTTGATTCGTCGGTACTGGACCAAGCGCAATCTGTCTGAGAGTATAGGATGATGTAGTTGTCATGTTTCTTCACTCTCCTTCTTTCCTGTGTTTTCTGTCATAATCTTTTCCTTTTATGCTCCTTTCTACTCTTTATTTTAATTATTAAAAAACACAACCTCAGTATGGGATGAACATTCAGTTCTGCTGTGAGCTCTTGTTTACTCTTCGCTGCTCTTTTGATAACTCTCATTGGTAATGTCGTTGTGTTTTGATAGTTTTCTCTTAACTGTATTTACCAGATGACCTGAACAGTACCCACCAGCACTGTGTCCTAGCTGGAGACACTGCACGCTTCAGCTCCACACACAGAGTGGCTGAGGTGAGAAGTCAGACAACAGATTAAACTCTGTTCTGAATCGCTTCGTAAAATGCTGTATGGTCTACCGACAGCCTCCTTTGGAATTAATAAGGAATGCTGCTATGCTGTTTTATTGAAAGACTCTGTAAAAAGTTAATAAGTAAATAATATTCAACATTGTATACTGAAGAACTTTGTTGTCCTCTTGCAACCCTTTTACTGAGAAATAAAACAGAAAAACGAACGGTCTTTCTCTGCAGGGTATGGCGATGTAAGTAAAGCCACTGCAGTATATCCAAATATACTACAAAATGTTTTAAAAAAAAAATCATCAGACTGCTAAGGGAAAATGTGCATTCCCTGGCTGGTTAGTGAGTGGTTGCTAGTAGTCACTAGTTGAAATTGGTCTCAAAGATGCGATGCTGCACCAAAAACCTTTATGCAATTCGTTGTTGTTTGCTGCAGTCTTGATTGGGGTGGAAACTTGGAAAAGTAGAAGGCAAAACAGAAAACACAGATTGTTTACTGCAATTAAAACATTTCAAGTAGCTCAAATTTACTTTGAAAGCAAATGGTCTTCGGTACAACACCGTCTTTGAAACAGCCAGCAACCTTCTGTTACAGCCACAGTAGTGAAAATGGTGAATGTGGCGTGATGGGAATTATAGTTACAGTATTCAGTCAAGTTGCAGGTTTTTTTGCCATTTAAGTGTTTGCTTCAAAGACGGGGACCAGGTCTGTGATCGCTTGCAATAAGTTACCATCTTCCAGGCAACTTTTGTGTGTCATGACTGATAAATTGGCAATACTCCGTCTGCTATCAGTCTGTCATCACTTTGCGAGTGAATGGGTTCACGTTACATGCAATCTGTTTGTGATAGCAAGGCGATTAACTGTGATTAAAACTGTGGCAAAAATAACAAATCTCTTACTGTCTGTTTCAAATCTGTCTACATGTGCAGAAATTAACATTAAAGAGAAATTCACAAGAACTACTTACAGTCCAGCCAAAGCCTTTTTAAACAGAAATTCTTCTGCAAATAGTGATGCAGTCGTGCAGGATGAGGTGGTGAACATACATAAAATAATGTTAATTTCCTCTGATTCCACAGAGATGTTAGGCTAGTATGTTAGCATGTTAAACCACCTGCCTGACATTGTGTAGGTCCTACTTGTGCTGTCAAAGCACCTATTGCCCATTAGAGAACCAACATCTAGGAAACAGGTTTTCCTTGGCCCAGGATGCCCATAGGATATCCTTTGGGTTTTATAGGTTGGGGTCATGGAATGTGCATGTTCCAGCGAAGCCCATGGACTTACTTGTATTAGGATGTGATCAGTTTTTAGGTCATACGAATGCCTTGGGTTCTTACTGATGTTTCTCAAGTTGTTGAGCAATCCAGCTAGGGCAAATTGTCAAGCTGGGGGAGGCTGCATGCCATTAGAAAATGCCCTTGGCATTGGCATGTGTACTTGTTCTGCAAGTCTCTGTAGGTGCTTCATTTAGAAGCAGTGTCCTTATGAATTTTCCGAACAGAACATTGCAAATAGTTTACCTGTTCTGTCTGTGGTTTTAATATTAGCAAGTAGACAGCTTATTAGTTGGGTAGTTTGACCAGTATATGCATATTTTCTAGGCATGCACCTAGGTTAAATGTATTAAATTTCTCACAAGCACTGCAGTTACGCTCTGTTTGTAACACAGTCTGTGTTGTTCTGATCAGTGTTCCAGTGGAACCCTGACCTACATCCAGTCACGTTGCCAGGAGGCCCTGTCCAACCTGCACACTGACCCCGACACAGGATCCCATAGGCTTGTGGCTCTGCTGCCGGCAACGCTACAGGACTGTGAGGAGATTCACAATGAGGTGGGGAGACGGTGGTGTGTGTTCACATGAATGTGCATATGTATGTACACGTGTGTCTGTGATATGTGTGTTATGCACATTGGACCATTCTTTGATTTTATTTGCGTTTTTTACATGTAGTTTTACTAGCATTGTTAAGCTAGCGTAGATGAGCTGTATGCACCACATCTGAATCAGTTTTATAAATCTGACTTCACTTTTAGGGCTTTCTGAGACTACTTAATGTGAATATGTGCCAAGAGTTTAGACAATAGGATTCCAGTCTTAAGTTTTAAAGACTATTCCTTTACTTTTTTTTAAGAGTTCATGGCCCTCCTAGCACAATCTGAATTGTTCCATCTGGTCACAAAAAACAATTAAGAACCATCTGCAAATATGACAGGATTTTTCAAGACAGTATCACAGAAAGTATTGTGGAAATACAATGAAACCATTATCCATGATTAATAACAGTTTGCTTATTTATTTATTTTGCTTTTGCATTGTATAGACTTGTGCACCTGTGGATAGAGTCTGGTGAACATACATTTAATGAAGCCCTTTGGTTGACCTTGTGTTCTTTGATGGGACAATCACCCTACGTAACTTTACGGTATCAGTGTGTTATATCTTTCCATGTCAGTCTTCCAATGAGCCAAATGATGTCAAAAACATGACAACAAAAACGACAAAACACATTCCAACAAAAACTCTTAAAATCTGAAATGAAAAGCAAATATGACAAAGAGGAAAATCGTGTGCTTTAAACCTTTTTTAAACATTTTAATCCTGGTGGATTCTGGTTGATTCTATTTTATCTGCATTATGAGACTTGTGTACCATACTGGAAGTAATCTGATAGCAGGTTAAACATCTGTACATGGCAGGATGGACGCTTGCCAGCTTACCAACTTCTACGTACCTTGTTGTCTCTGCTCAGGGAAATGGTTGCAATATGAAATCCAGGTTGTTTTCATTTGTCCTGGCCTGTGATGGATTGTACAGCAATAGCCTCTCCATATGTTTTTCTAAAAGATGGAGTCAGGCCCCTCTCCACTCCTTAACCCCTTTTTATACAGAACAATGAGTGATGCTGGCTTGGGATATGGAGGGATAGAGGGAGGTCAAAAAAGAGGAACACGAGTGGCTGTCTGCAGAGCCACCAGCATACTGTGTTCACTTGCTGCAGGCCAGCAGTTAATATATCACTTCACCTCTCCCTCTTTACACCCTTTGGCCCAAAGTTCACATCCAAGCTGACACTAGCACCCAGACCCCTTAGCAGGATACCATGACAGATGAGTCTGACGTAAGGTTGTTTAAAGGTTGTAGACAATATTAATTATTCAGCAGAGCCAAACAATAGTGCTGTCTGGTTTGGGAGAACTGCTGTGCTAGTTGAGTTAGCAACTGCTAGTTTCTTGCTTGTGGCACAGGATTACTAAACATTGGTTTATTCAGGAAAACAGCGCACAATTTATAAAAGAGCAGGTGTGTGTGTGTGTGTGTGTGAGTATTTAAGTAAGGAGGGGTACTCTCGGGGGCTCAAGCCTACCCTACCTGGCATTCTCAATGATCGATGTGGCCATTTGTTTGGAGTTGCCCACGAGAGCAGAACACCCACTTAAATGATGTATTGTTGGTGGAGTTATTTATGATCGCGGCCCAGTTTGGCTCTTGGTGGGTGCATATTGCGCAGGTCGTGTTTGACATGGGCGACTGAGGAGTGAACAAGCCTGAGACACGCAGGCAGCCTGACCTGAGCTGTGCCTTATGGGCCTTTCCTTAAAAAGTGCTAAACAGCAAGCTAGCACTGGCTGACATTCCAGGGATATTGTGCAATGTGGTGCAAGGAGGTGGAGGTTGACATTTGTCACAGGGTGTGGGCCCGGTTTGACGAAGATGAAGTAGAGCATCTGCCATCGCTGTCAGCATTTGGGGGTCAGTCGGGATGGCTAATTGAAGTAAAAATTGAATGGAGACAGAGATGGAAATAAAGAAAAAATTCCCACCTGTGTGTTTGGTCCCTCTCACTGTCTCCTTTTAATCTCACCTCCTGTTTTAGGTGGCGGAGGTAGGCTAACACAGCATCACCGCACCTTCCCCATGTGCAGGTTTGGCTTTGAAATGCTAATCCCAGACGCAAATGTCTTGTCTCATTTAAAGCCACTGTGTCACTTCCCAGGTGGGTGTGTGACAGAGTGCCCTGAGGGACCCCCTCTAATGATGCTAGTTCCCCCACAGTAAATATTGATGGGGGGTGGGGAGGTTCCCACAAGCTTTGGCAGAAAGTGAACTGTACGGAAGTAGTTGTGTGTGACCTTCTGATGTTCTGTTTTCATGGCCAAAATGTCTCCACAGGCTGCTTCAGTGTTGGCTTTGCTTTGAAACGGCTTTCTTAAAAGGGCTTACAATGAGAATGTCAAAGTAATCTTATTAATAAGTACTCAAATTATTTTTTGTAACAGCTCAGTTTATTGTGGTTTGTACTTTTTATCTCTGCTGTCATTTTTACTTGCATTACCTTTACTGCTTGTTAACATTGTTTCTAATTATTCATCGTATTGGTTGATTTAATGGGTTATTTAATTTCTCTGTGCTTTGGTTTTATTAAAAAAAATACTACATTGATAAAATAAATCTATCCATAAAAGGCAACATTTTTGACCATTTCTGAATTTTGCAATGCCATGATTTAGGCTTTAGATTTTGTTTTATTTTTTGAGTATATCATTTATTCGTTTAAAACCCTGCTTTCAAAATATTTGGGACGGTGTGTAAAATATCAATTAAAAGAATCTTTTGTTAATTTAAGCCCTTTACTTAACTGGAAATTTACAAAGGTTTCAAACTGAATTTCTATGATCAATTGTATTACGATTTACCAGCTTGGACAATTCGTCTCTTTCAGGCCTTCAAGTTGTACAAAAATGCTGCGACCAGACGATTAACATGAACAGATTTTAGGATTCGAAGATGACTATTTCTTTAATCTTTAGTCTGAGAGGAAAGAAGTGACAAACACTATCTTGAAGATAGAATGTTATGAGAAAAAGCCTCTATAATTTATGAGTAGTCATTTTAGAAAACCTGACCATTCCCAAGTTTTTTTTTTTGTTTTTTTTTTCTACCTGTAGGGTGAAAGTAAAACATATATAGCAATCTGTGTGTTATAACCTAGATTGTGTGCGACTACTCTGGCAAATGTGTGATGAGTGTAAATTGCGTTCCTAGTTGCTCACCGGTAACCAGGCTTATATGTGAGGAGATCAGGAAAGGTAAACAGAGGACGGCAGAGTGGGATCGATCACACTCTCATCAGTTCTCACCTCAGGGCCCAGCCCAGAAATTGATTGGACCCGCTCAGGGACTACCGTGAAGGTGTGGAAAAAAAAATGTACCTCATTAAATCGGGGGGAAAAAAGGGGCTACTTGGCTTTAACTCCAGAGTTGCCATGGTGGGAGGCCGGTCAACTAATGTGCAGCTAATGTGTAGTTGGTGTGTCCATCACCTGGACAGATGACAGCGACTGCCTCAGGGGAGTCACTAACTCCCCTCTCACTCCCCCACGCCATCTCATAGAAAAACTAGGCCTAACAACCACTCTCTCTTTCGCACACACTTTCGATCTGTCTACCTGAATAGGTGGCATTTAGTCATAGTTCCCTACTTGGTAACTCTCAGCTGGGTAGCTAGCCTCCAAATGCCACATAGCCAGCACTCCTCAGTAGCTTTAGATGGCGTGCTTTGTGGCTTCCACTGGCCTGCGCAGCAGGGGACTGGCTGCCATGTCAGCTCAAAGTGGAGACACAGGTTGGTTTCTTCTCACTAAAGGACAGGCAGACAATCAGAGAGATAGAAGGATGGACAGACTGTGTGAAAAGGACGTCCGATATTGGCTCGTGTGGCTTTGTTGTGTGTTTGAGCTGTAGTGATCGAAGGGGAGTGGATTTGGATTGTGTTGAAGGGACCATAAAGGATGACATTTCTTTGAAGGGTGGGTTGTATGGAGTGACTGAGAGGCTGCTGAGCAGTGCCACTGGCTGTGTATTCTCCCTGACATGCCCCAGTCCTTGCATGTCATCCCCACTGTGATCAGAGCCTTTTTCCAGGACAGAATCCTCTCAAGTTGTTTGTGTAAATAATTTTTGCCCTTTGTTTTTGGGCGACTGTATGGAAGATGTCTTGCCTCATTTTGCAGAGCAGTAACCACTAAAAAATGTCACCAATCGCAGGATCTTTTAAGTTCAGTGTTCAAACTTTCCAGTGGCTCTTATTAGAAGAGTTCAGGATATTGGGAACTTAATTTGAGTTCAAAACTATTAGTTTTTTTTGTTGTTGTAAAAACAAACTCAGTTTAGGGAAACATCCTTCAGACACATATAATCCATGTTAATGCTGCTACTGCTAATGAAGTTAGTTTAATGTAAGAGTCATGTGACTCTTGGTCACATGACTCTTACGAAGCTTTGTAATTTAAAGTGTTTGTTGAATTGCTGCACTCAAAGATGGGAAAATCTAAGAGTTTCAAGAGTGAAAAATTAGAACTAAAGATTGAAGATAATCAACGTTCTTTTTTCACGACAGCTGGTAAATCCTTATATAAAGTTACTATAAATGTTGGATTGTGGAAGTTATATGGATTCCAACACTGTGAAGTGTGAAGACAGGAAAGTTCTTGCTGAATCTATACTTGCTTTTGTCTGTGATACACTTGCAGGTTTAACAATGCAGTGCAAGTATAATTCATACTTCTTGATTCTAATTGCGAATATACTTTGAGACAAAACTTTATGCCATATTTTCTGACAGTCTTTTGCTCAGTTGCAGGCCTGTTCAAACTTTTGTGCTAGAGAGAAAGTTACAGTGGATGTCGCTCAAAATAAAACTCAAACTGAAGATGGGTCTCCGTGACTTTTTGGTCAGTGCAGCGTAGTTATATATATGAACGTAATTTTTCAAAGTTGGATGACAATTTTGGATCACCCAAATTATAGTTTTATTTCATGGGAGCGCTCAGCTGGAATAAATGTGTTTTAAACTGTTTTGATGACTGTTCATAGCTGTAAAAGAGCTCTGCTTGCCTAATGCTCTGTTAGAAGAACAATAAACAAACTACTTTTCAGAAAAGGAACAATGGCTCTCGTCGTGCTATTTTATATGCGTTTCCATTGTATGAAACTACGTTTTGTGTTGTACAGTTGTCTACGTCAACATGAAATGGAGCGTGCATTGTTTTCAGTGGATGATGCTTTGTAGAATGTTTTGGGGGAGGGAAGCTCAGCGTCTCACATTTACGTTGGTGGCAGTTGGGGCAATCTTTGACATTCACATTTACGTTGGCGATTGTATACGCATTAACAAAGACGCTCACGCATTTATGCAGACAGATACTTGCAAGGGCACAAATGCACTGATGCGCATACAGTTCAGGTACGAACACACAAACACGGAAAGACACACTTGGAAATAGAAAGGCTACACCTGGCTACGTGAAGCATCCGTGCGAGGATTAAATCAGCACTTCAAAAGAGCAGGAAACAAAAACACTCCCAGTGGAGGAGAGGGGAGCGGCTTGGCAGTAAAGACTGTCATCTCCAGACGGAGCAGGAGAGGAGGGGATGGAGGGAAGAGAATGAGGAAAGGAAGGAGAGGGCGGAGTTTTCAGGTGTGCTCAATGGAAGGTGTGTGGGTGCGTATGTGTGTGAGCAGACATACAGTAGGCTTGTTTGTGTCTAAATTGTTTTGAGGGTGTGATTGTACTTAAAGACATGACCAATGTTTGTACTATTTGTGGTAGGATGTTTTTTTTATCTACGTGTCAAAAATGAGTGAACGTGCTTTGAAACTATTTCGTGACAAACAGAATGTGCAACAATTCAAAGATGGAATTAGCAAGTATGATTTCAAGGGAATGTGTCATTTTCTTCCAGTGCAAAATCATGTCCAATTTATTTTACAAGGGACTAAGAATTTATTTTTGTATTTGTAAAAGCATTCATATAATTTCACACTCTGACAAGTAAATGTATCTAAACAGAAAAGTCAGTGTTCTACTTAGAGATGTACTTAGTGAAAAGAACAGGGAAAGGAATGCATATATAATCTATGTAAATATCAGATGAAAGTTGTCTCTCTGAACAACGTTTTTGTTTTACGTGTATTTGTGTGTGAAGGTGGAGTTTGAGTGGCTGCGGCAGTACTGGTTTCAGGGCCAGCGTTATGCTCGGTTCTGCAGCTGGTGGACCAGACCGATGGAGCAGCTGGAGAAGGACTGGAAGCTCATGGAGACCATGGTGAGACTGCTCGGACACACTGCTAGTCACATGACAGCTTTGCTCTCTGGTTTCCCGACTTTTACTGCATTTGGCATCGACTCATTGTCACACAGATTACTTACTAAGACTTTGATGGTTAAATAAAATCTATCTAAATTTAAGTTTGTAGGCTGTTTACCATAAAATCTTTTTGTGCGAGTTTAGCTTTCTAGGTTTTACACTCATAATATTTCTTTTCTGGGACATAGATGAAAACAGTTAGTAGGTTTAGTTTAAGTATTTTCCTTATATTAAAAATATGTTATAATGTATATTAAAACACTACTACTATTGCTTTATAGGTAATACCCTCAAAATATAGGAATACATAAAAATGAGAGCATTTATCCAAAATATGAGGAGTTTCTTTGCTAGTGTAGTAAGGCTGTCACACAAAATAAGTCTTTCAACTAAATGCTCAACACGCCTCTACTTGTGCTTCTTACACAAACTACACAAGTGATCTGCTGTCCAATAATACCCCTCACCAGAGAGGGTGTGTTTAAAATTACATGGTATATTGTCTATCTTCTTACCAGGCCACACTATTAAGGATGTGTCAAGTGTTTAATCGTAGCCTCACAGAATTTTTATGGGAGCGGAACGTGGGTGCGTAGCTATTAGTTAGACACCACTGTAAAGGAATCACTTAGTAATGTCAGACTCATAATTAAGTCACCTTAGTCACAGCTCTGTTCTGTAAATTCTCTGTGTGCCGCAGACATACTCACACTGTAGACACACAGCGCGGAAAGCCACACAGTCATATGCTTGGTCTCGCTTTTGGTATACCCCCACAAGTTCTATGCAGTCCCACTCTCATAGCTGGATTTCAAAGAGTGCGTGCACAATATATGTATGTGTGTGTGTGTGTGTGTGTGTGTGTGTTTAACACCCAGACACCAGAAGCAGCAGGGGGCACTCTTGTATCACTGTAGCAGCATCGCAGGGAACGAGAGAGCTGTGCTCCTCTTTTCCTCTGTGCTCTCCCTCGCTCTCTGTCTCTTTATGTCTCTCACCCACTCCTGCTGTCTCTGGGAGCTCTCTGTCTCTGTCAGTGTCGAGCGCTGAGCAGTAATCACATCTAATGCTCAGGCGGGGATAAAGACTGGAGCTGGAGGAGAACAGTGCCGCTGCTGCTCAGCTCTAGTCATAGTCTCTCTTTCCTCCTCTCTCTCACACAGTTGAACAGCCTGGCAGAGGGTGGGTGGGGGTGTTAGTAGACAGGGGCTAAACTCATCTAGAGCTTTACCTCCGTGCCCAGATGAAGTGTGTGATTTGGACCTGTGTTTAGAAAAGGGCATCAGTGAAATGTGAGGTCTTTCTCCCTCTCTGTTCCTCTGTCTCCATGTCTCTCTAATGGGCAAGTGAACCATGTCCACTATGCATTTTAGAAAAAAAATATGTGTGACCAAATATGGATTTCCGCCATGTCGTTGGAACTTAATGTCAGATTTTATGCAATTCGGGGGAAAAAAAAAAGTAAACCAGTTGTTTTTAGAAAAATATAAAAAGCTAAATCAACAAAATGCAATAATTAAAATAAGGTAATAATACATGTGTAACAATAAATGCATGGGTATTTTAAATATCACAAATTACATTAACACGAGTTTATTAGAACATTAATTTTACAGATTAAATATTTTGGCACCAAATTGAATTAATCACAGTGTCACATCACACAAAAGCAAGTATGTCTTCTGCAGGAATGCATATTGAACCCGTGCAAAAAATGATACACTAGTGAATGCATAAAGGTAATGATTCACTATTGTGATGAAGGACAACATTATTGCTCTTGCCAGCAATATTTACATACATGCATCGACCTCTGATATGCTGATGAAAAGCACTTTATAGATGTGACTTATAGATTTTCCTTTCGGTGGTTTTGAAAGCTGTGGCTTTTCTGCCGTTAGATTAAAACACATTTCTCTAAATTACTTTGAGTTATTTAAATTATGTGGGTTCCCCTCACATTTCTTTATTGCATATATTTTACACTTTGAAGCTGGCAATTGACAGCATAGTATAATTTAGTGAAATACAAGTGACCTACTGTGTGCAGACGCTGTTTACCATGTATTTACTTAGATTTTTCTCTTGCCTGCAGAGTATATATTAATACAGGATTATTTTTGTCAAATTTGATATTACCATGGGTGTTTTAGAATAGCAAATATATGTCTCTTTAAATAGGGTTTATAAAATGACACTGTATTGTTTTATACACTGTGCTGAGCAATAAAGCAGCGCATTGTTTTATCCTGCTAAAACAGCAATACAAACAGCCAGCCTTCCCCTCTTTATTGTCATATTTAGCACACACTGTCGTGGGATGCGCTGGGCTATGTATGTGTTTGTTAGTCTGTATGAAGAATATTGCAATATGGGGTGACTAGCTCCTGTTTATGGATACTGTCTCTCCCTGGGGCTCCCTCTCTGCTCCTCAGCCTGTTGTCATGCAAATGCTCATCCTTCCATTTGAATGACATTCTGATAAAATACATAAATAAATAAATAAAGACCCGAAACAAAACAAGTCCACTCTTTTTGGTGCCTCATGAATTCACGTGGTTCCTTGATAGAAACAAAGAATCCGCCTCTTCTAGCATGCCTATGTGAATGAACGGCAAAACTATATTATGTGTGTATGTTGGAAGGTGTGGCTGTACGTAGGGTAAAAGGTTGTTTCGGCAGCATGGAAGAAGGGCATTAACTCAAAGGTTTTACATTCCCCTGTGATCCAGGGTGCCGAAGTCCGTTTAGACCTGGATCGCAGCCTTCTGTTCCCCCAGGACTCTGCTATCATGGCTATCATACAATAGTGACATTTCCTTAAACTAGCAACAATGAATAGCTTCCATCTGAGTGACAATAGACAGAGAGTCTTGGCTTTATGCAGAATATTTTAAATACCGGTGTGGTATTTTTTTATCTTTTCTCTTTTCACTGTGGGGGAGAAGCGACAGCGAGCCCACGAGCATATCTTTTTTCCCTGTCCTGTGTGCGTGTGTGTGTGTGTGTGTGTGTTTGCGTGTATGTGTGAGCCATTGATGTTAATGTATGCACTCGGCATGACTTTAATTGATTTAGCAGCTCTGCTTGCACAGTACAGCTTTTTCCCTAATTTGTCACTTTCCTGACTTCTGTGGCTGCTCATCTCACAACTTCAAAAGCCACCGGATGCAAAGAGATTTCAATGCACTCCGTCTTCTCTCTCTCTCTCTCTCTCTCTCTCTCTCTCTCCCTTTCTTTCTTTCTCTTGTTCTCTCTCGCTCCCGCTACCTTGCTGTATTTCTCGCTTTCTCACACTTTCTCCCTCATTTGACAGAAGAACGAGCCTTGTAGATGGAAATCTTTTCAACACATATCAAGGAAATTAATCTGCTTTCATAATAAACGGGATCCATTCAGTTGAATACATTTGTATACTTCAAGATGTACAAAACAGGAAGTGGTATCGGGGCCATGTCTTCCTCTGCACCGTTCACCCAGCCTGTCAGTCCCTGTTTTTCAATGGTTTGGTCACACACATACAGTACGTGTGTGTGTATATATATATATATATATACACACACACACACACACACATACACACTCTCTTTTTTTCCCTCCCTGTGTCACAAAATTTGCTTTCTTTGATTTATAATGGAGGCTGGCTTTTGCATGCATGTGTATGCTTATGAGCCGAGATGCGCTTGGCGACCATTTCTTTTTCTCCCCTCACTGTAATAGCAGTCTTTGGAAACAATCTGGGCAGCCGAGGAGGGCTGCACTGCAATCATACAGAACCTGGCCTGGTCGCCATCAGTAGCTGATTAGGTTATTGAGCAAACGTGCTGAGGAGGGGTTGGAGAATGAGGGATGCGGGAGAGAGGGAGGTAGAAAAAAAAAAACTGCTGGTAGTGTGTGTGCGTGTGGGGGGGAGCAAGAGTGGAGGGGTCAATGTAAATGTTATTGCTGTGTGAGCTCATTTGATCAAAGTCCTGGAAAGGTTAAGCGAATCCAATCTGGTTTTGTATGGCAGAGTGGAGACACAGGCGCTAGGGAAGAAACCCCCAGGACGGAGAATGGATTATCATATTGGCGCTGAAGTAGCAGGGGCCTCCGACGGACAGTTTACTCTGCCCGTAATGCGTTTAGACAGCAATTGGCCTTAATAACCTTTATTGACTTCAGCGGGTCAGTGCCAAGAATCTAATTATCAAAGTGTATCAATTTCATTGGAGTTTAGAGTTGCACCGCTCAAAATAATTATTTTAAGGTCGGCCCGGGGCAATTAATCCCCTCTCCACTTATTTGATGGCTTTGTAAAACATTATAAATGTTATGGTTTCTGTTGTGCGTTACGCCGTAAATAATTTTAGGGAGCAATTTTTTTGTAATGCATTATTTGGAGAGCTTGCCGTGCTGGTCCAGGTGAGAGAAAAAGGCAGTATATTTTAAAAAGCTAGGGGCTAAAGCTGAATCACGTTGCAGATGTTTACCAGCAGTAATTTTTCTCTTTTGCTTGCCGCTTAACTTGCACAGTTAGGCAGAGTTTTATATCCACTTTATATGCACACATGGAATCCCCGTTTAATTATAAGTGTGAACTAAGCAGTAAACTGCTTAAAGACCATTTTTATTGCTCATTATGAAGCCATTTATTATCTCTTACATTAAATCACACTGGGTTTATGCATCATATTGTTTTGCATTTAAAGCTCCACACTACGTAAATAGGCTTATACTTTTATTATATTCAATTCTGTGCGGTTCTTACGCACAGATAGAGCGTGTGCGAAATGTGTGTCTGCGTGTATAGCTTCAGATTTATTTGTATGTTTCTGTCCGCGTGTCTGTGTGTGTGGGGGGTGCAGTGTGGCCGCAGTGTGTGCGAAGGAAGTAAATGTGCAGCTGCACAGTAGTTTATCCTTCATTGACAGTCAATATGTGCTGTTACCTGGATAGTAGCAGCTGTTTCTCCTTAT